AACAGAATGATAAACAAAACGAGAAGGAACAAAATCATCATAAATTGACCCTTGGCTCCAGCCTTCTTCATTACCATGCCAACCTTTTTCTGCAGAGAAGTGTAACTTCAATTAAACAAGATTCAGACCAAAAGAGAGAGAAAGAGGGGGGAGGAGCAAGGGATATACTTGAGGCCAATAAGTGGAATATCAGCTCTTACATTCAAAGATAGGAATGGTACAAACCAAAGTAAGATGCAGAAGTCATATGATGGCAATACTAACCTGAACAAAATCAAGGCGATTTGATGTTCCCTCCATCTCTGTACCCAAGTCATCTATAATCTTTTCCTGCACACCAACAAAACTGGATTTTAGGAGTGCTGTTTGATTTTCGTAGAAATATTTGACTAAAGAAAATCTTTGGACACAAGATAGGTAACTACACAACAGAGATGCAGCAAATTTCACTCTAATACCAATTCTCCAGAATGGAAATGACAGTTCAAAAAGTGTCAAAAGAAGTACATGTGCAAGAAGTTCTTCATGTATCGTAAGGCCAACACCACCAATTCTTTCTACACTAGCACTGAGCTCATCCAACTCTTCATCTTGTTGCCTGCATAAGCCACACTATTACACAATAGAAATGAATAAAACTCCAAAAATACGACTATAGATTGAATGATCTAGTAGTTGATCAAGTAATCAGGCCATAATTTTGAAATCTTCAACAGTCTAAAAAATTTTATTATTCTTGCAGTTTCACACTTAACAAGAATCATGCTTACTTTCAATTTTTTTTAAAAACTGTTTTCACTAATTATGTAAATCTTCCTTCAATTCTATAATTTAGAAAAAAACATCAAAAAATATGAAATAAATTCAATTAATGGACAAAATAAGTTTCCTTGAAATGCTGACAAGCAATTACTAAGGGTGCATTTGATCAGTCTTAAAACTGAAATCTGAATCCATTAAGTTACTGAATTGTTAAGTACTAAATTTGATACATTTAAGTGTATATTACATTAAGTGATAAATGAATAGCTTATTACTTATTCTTAGAGCTCAGCCTATTGTTTTACCAAAAAATCAAAGTAATAGATGCTTAATGGGGAATAACCTTCTAACGAAGTTGCCAAGTTATTTTTCATATTCTTGTTGAGAGAGAAAGAATTAAAGATGTTAACCAAAATCACATTCAAATGTTGTGAAACCAAAACTTTAAATCCTGGGAAAACTAACCAGAAAAATTCTATATATTCACAAACAATCATTTGTATTGTAATTGTTGTTTGGTCAGGCATATTCATCACTTGAGGAAAGAAACAGGAACACAAACAGATCATGTTCAAGACAAGGAAAAAAAAAAGAATATAGCAAAAGAAAATAAATCAAACAGAATAAGCTGGGAAGAGGTTGATAATGAAACAAAAGACCATACTTTATGAGAAGTAGCTGTCTGTCTGATTCTGAGGATATGAGATCATCATTAGCTTGTGTAACATACTGGTTGGATCTGTCCGTCTGTTGCGAATTTGGCATTCTCATGAGTTCCCTACGCATTCCATTTACATTTGAAGAGCTTAAGCCATTAGACTCCTTCCCAGCTACTATTGCCTTCTTCATATTGCCAACCTAATTACCCAACACATAAGTCTGTTAACCTCAAGTGTCTGATAAATCCAAAGCAAATCCATCCAGTATATAAGTTATTCATTGGGTAGTATGTATTATGCCTAAACAGAAGAAGAAGATTCCTGTACAGTAACACAAGGAATAACAAGTTGCAATTATAGCAGCTATGGAACAACTTATAAACAAATACCTGACTTCGAGCATTGCTTGTCCATCTTCTTCTTTTCTCAAGCTCTGGTTCATTGATACCATACCATGAAGGATCTCTTGCTGCTACGGAAATTGTTTTATCCAATTCATCCACCTTCCTATCACAAAAACAGATCTTCAGTATTTATGAAAGATACATGTGTACCTTTATGCAACCCAAAACCTTCAGAGAAAATCTGGGGAAATAAACTGGCATTTAAAAAAAAATCACACCATGACAAGAGGAAGTTACAAAATTTAACATTTATATAAGTTGTTGAATTCACAAAAAACCATGTAGTATAAGATGAAAGGAGTCATTAAGCATTACGAAATGCATCTTTCTGAGTTTCAAAGCAAAATCGTAACCATGCTACTTTCATGGACAATTACGAAGATATGTGATTGATTGTCATTTTAGGCACATCAAAAAAAAGAAAAGGAGAAATCCTAATTCAATGATTACAAACTGCAATGCATACCTGCCACTGAATGCTCTCACAACCAGCAAGAAGTTCCTTGGTCAGATTTAGTTGCTCTCCACTATCTGGAGCAAGACGCTCCCATTTGTGAAAGCTAGATAGCAACTTGTCAATCTGGCCAAGAAAGTAATTCACAAGTTAAATATCACATACAAGAAAATTTCAATGCATGACCACACAAACAGAACGCTCAACAAAAATTTTTTTCCAAGGGAGGTGGCTGAGATCCAAGAGCATTTGAAGATAAGACATCATCAACAATTAGTAGGACATGAAGTGATAGCTCTAATTGCAGCAAGTGAAGAATTAACTATCTTTGTGCTTCTTCAGACGTATACAAAAACCAAGTACATGTCTGTCCGCGTCTGCATGTATCCACCCAAGCAAATGTACTTATGTCAGCACAAATGACATCAAGGCATGGACAAGTGGGAAAGAGTAAGGTTTAGAAGTGTGGGTTAAAAGCAAATCAATTTTTGGTCTTGGTTCTTGAAATCCTTAAAACATCCTGTATGGGAGTATCAAAATCTCTGTGGCAACTCTGCATCTTATTTACCTAACATACTTCAGATCATACAAAAGGTAAAAAGTGGAAAATGCTAAAAGAGGTAGAAGTTACAGTTCGAATTCAGGAGAGAAATATCTAAAAGTTAAGAGACCCCTTGAACAAAAGGTCATGTTATTCTTCTATCCTGATTTTCAATGCCATGGAATACCTACATATACAAATGACCTCCAAAAGGATTAAAAACAAGTACATTTTCTAACACTTTTATTGAATAAGTAGGAATTTTTCACTTTTAACTCAAGAAGCCACTTTCTCTGTCTTTTACTTCCCAGGCACTTTTAATTTTGGATATTACGACCAACACAAGTAGCCCATCATGCATACCCAGTCAAACATGCCCACGAAGCACAAACATGATCTCACAAATATGCTACTATTGTTAGATCTTTAGCAGCCACGGAAAACCCTAAACAAATCCAAACCCAATTTGAGCAGATTCAACAAGAAAGTTTCAAAGATGACGTTCTACATTGGGGCCTCCCAAATTATCCTAGCAATAAAGCCAAATTACCATATCCAGCATCTTGGCCTGCAGTCTTCTAAAACATAATCATTCCAGATTTCAGGCAATCCCCATAGAACTTAATTAAGCAATAACCATGTCACTGTAATTAATCGTAATCATCCAAATATCTACAAAAAGAGAAGCATAAATGCCTCATTCTGCTTGATCTACATTGATAAGAGAAATATTAGAACAAAGTAATGGTAATTATCAGAATCATAAAGCAAAAACAATCATGGACTTTATATTAAAAAAAAAAAACAATTTTGACAGCATAATTAACTAAACACTGATCTGAAAACGAAATATTAATTTTTGCAAGAAGAAATAAACTTACAGAATCTTGGATCTCTTCCATAACAATGTAGAAAGGGTCCTGAGCTGAAGATGACATTCCTTTTTCTTTTACTATTTCTACCCAAAAATTCAATCTTTACTCCGTATAAACTGTATTCAAGAAATCAACAAAAACCCATTTCAGATTTCAACTTTGAAGACCTGAATTCCTCAAAATCACACAGTAGACACCTCCCATCACACACAGTCACATACCTGGAAGTTCTATCTAATATTACTATCATTAGAAAAGTAATATTATAAACATTAAAGAGCTAACCTGAAAATTAAGGAAGAATTCTTCTTAGAAGAAATTGACAACAGACGGAAGACCAAAACTTACAGATTTGTTCCTTCACCAACAACTTGATGGGGGCCGTATTCGTTATACAAACGTTTTTTAATGTGGATTATTTTATTTCCCTTCCCTTTAATCATATTTGTATCATTTTCTGATAACAGTTAAAGACTGGGCTTTTTCATACGTTCAATCAAACTCAAATGAGTTGGGCTTTTATATCTATCTGGGCCCTTGTGGTGAAAGCATAAATAGGGCTCTAACTCTTCTGCTTTTGTCCAGTTTTAGAGAGAATAGAAATTTTCTTGATTAGCAAATTGGAATAGTTTGAAAAATGGGCAATTCCATGCATAAAACTTTTTTGTCGGTGCTGATCTGGCCAATTTGATTATTGAACTCATTTGGTAATTCCAATTAAGAACCTTTGCGGTGATAACATTAATTCTAACAATTGATTTAACTCCTCATTGACTAATAAAACAGGAGTATTATAGAAATATCATATACGAGATTGTAATAAAACAAGTGAATCGTATAAAAAATCACCATATAAAAATTTAAAATCCTGTAAAAAAAAAAGATGAAATTTAAGAAAGTTTAATCATGTGATTTTTTACACGATTTACTTGATTTATTACAATCTTGTGAATGATATTCCTAAAATAACCCTATTTAGTTGGACAATTAGAAGTCATATTGATTCAAGTCATCATGCCACCACAAGATCCTTAATTAGACCACACAATAAGTTTAGGCATGAAATTAGCTACAAATAGAAGTTTAGAACTAAATTGACCAGTGAAAAAGTTTAGAAAGCGAAATTGGTCATTTGCCCTTTAAAGGTTCGCCATATTTTCATTTTCCCGCTTAAAACGTCGACGTTTTGCTGAAGCAACTAAGTTGCTTGCGTGGCATCATCTCCACCGTCCACTGAACACTGCTTCATCCTAGCCGTGAAATGGCTGGAAATGGAACTTGCGAGTCCCCGTTCCCTTACCTCCAAACTAATAATCCTTCCCTTCTTCTTCTTCTTCCGATCTTCGTCGTACGTACTCCTCCGGGCCAGACTATACCCCCGTTCCCTGGCATTTTCCTCTAACATCTCAAGAAGCTCAAGTCGTCGGAAAATCTTCCTGATCCGTTTGTGTATTCCGATTGAGAGTTGATTAAACGAGATGGAAAGCCGAGCTGAGTAGAGAGAATCATGTTGTCCAGACTCTCACTGAAGAAGTGTGCCACTAGTGGCTCCGGCAGCGGCGGCTTTTCCAAATATATTTTTCAGAACAACTCCACTCTAACGTCTCCCCGAAGGTAACTCATTTTTCGTATTTCAATCTGCTTTCATTGGTTTTTTTTTTTTGGCTGCAATTTTCTTGCTGAGGGTTGAAGTTAATTTTTTTCTCTTGGTTTTCGTTTAGTTTGACATATGCTTATTTATTTTTATTTTTTTGGTGAATTTTATTTGATCTTTTTTGTGTGTGTTTTTTATGTGTTTATTTATGATGTAGTAGTATTGCAGTGGCTGCTTAAGATACAATATGATGAAGAATCTAATATTGTAGAAAGTAGTTCTTTTTGCCTTTTTTTGTTCTTTTTTTTTTTTGAACAAATTTACAAAATTCAGTTAAGCTCCCTCATTAACCATACATAATAGGTTGCAAAACTTCTCTTCCTGTATAAAAGAAGAAGCTATATAGTGATAATCCAGTGCTCCACCATCGTGGCTGTTGAATTCTGTTTAACTTTCATTAAGCAAGTGCATTCATTGACATGAAATTCGAACTCCAATTTAACTTCAAGTAGTTTTAGCCAGGCACTACTGTGCGAGGTTTTGTGTGACGAGAAGTAGTCAAGTGAGGAGAACACAAATTGGATTGTTTGGGGAAGAAATTATGCAACATAAACAGCAAAAATAAATCTCTTTAGAAAAAACTGTATTGTATTTATTATTGCTGAATTAGGAATTACATTTGTTGATATGTTCTCTATGTCTTTCAAGTTAAGTTTCGATTAAAATTTTAACATGTTCTCCAGGTTTATAGCTGCACAAATAGTTTTACTCTTAGCTTTGTTGCTCTGAGACATATATGCATGCTAGTGCATATAAACAAACCTTAAATCTATGCAATGCATATGACCCAAAGTTAAAGAAGCTTGTAGCTTTGAGGTAGTATAGCATTTGCTCATAAAGAAATGAGGATGGACAAATTTCTGTACATAGCCATGTGGCCAGGTACATATAGGCACGATAGCAACAGTATGTATACTTTGTCGGAATGTAATCAAAATGTCCCATCATCTTCCTTTGCAGGAAATGTCGGAACTCTATTCTTTGCTTTGTCTGTGTTAGCTGAATCTTCTTATTTCCTTCTACTCCAATTGTTGTCAACTCCTTGCCTTGTTTCTCTTTTCCTGAATTGGTTGAACCTGATGTTGATGTTTGTTTTTGTGCAGGGGATTGTTTCTTTATGACTTCCTAGTCCAAAATATTTCTAGTTCTCCATGTTTTCCTGAAGCTACTTCATTTTCTCACTTTCACCATCATTACACAAGCGCACACCGAGGAGATTCCTGGCTAGAAAAACCTTTTCCTGAATCTAAACCTTCTATGAAGAAAAGCTCATTATTAAGTAATAGATTGCTGGCTTTGCAGTCACATGATATCTCTTCAAAATCCATACAAGTTAGACACATCAGTAATCCTTCGATTGAGCTGAAGACAGATAAAGATGGTGTCAGGTTTAATTTTGGTAGTCCGGCAGTCAATGGTGGGTCACAAAGAAAAGCAAAGAAGGCAGGCAAGAAGGTTAAAATGTCCAAAAAAGCAAAACTTAATGAGCTTAAGTTCTACAGGTTGAAGGCAAAAAAGAAAATGAATTCTCCAAACCCAGAAGTTAGGATAAGATATAAACTTGAAAAGGTTGGTGAGATTTTGATTTATACTTCTCTATGCCGTGCCTGTCTTTGCAATTGTTTTACCATTCTTTTAGGGCTATTTCAGTCAAACCTGTTCTTTTCTTTTCACAATTGTTGCCTTTCCATTTTAATCTTTATTGCGTTCAAAGGAGTGGGGATACATACAGAGATGTTGCCAATTATATGTATCAATGGTACCAGGAAAAAGATCTTACATTATTTATTTTCTCAAATTGTTCACCAAGTTTTTGTGGTTTTCTTCTTCTTCTTTTTTCCCCCCTTAAACTTCTCATTGATAGAATTTTAACATTTTAAACATGATAAAGACTTAAGTCCTTGGTGCACAAAGTTAGCTAACAAAGTCTCACTTAGTATTGTGTTTTTTGAAAATGAAAAGGAAAAGAAAATCTCCATGATAAATGGATTGTAGGCATTGATTGTGCCATTGAAGCTTCTTGATCAACTAAATGAGCAGAATTATGGACTCAAATGGTTAAATAGCCAATTCCATCTTTTGGTTTGTAATGTCTTAGTTCTTTTTTTCCCCTTTTTTATTAAGTAAACCTACGCTAAACCCTCACCTCTACCCTGACACATGCACATGAAAAATATCCTTTGGGAGTGCACTTGGTGGAGGATTTTATTTATTTGGTGGGGGGATTTTTATCTGGTTTGGTACTTATGGTAAGTTTCATTGAAAAACTCCAGGCGAAAAGAAAGGAAGCTTGGCTGATTGAGAAATTGAGGAAATATGAGGTATCTAAAGTTCCTGTGGAAGCATATGATCCTGAAATTTTAACTGAAGAAGAGAGGTTTTACCTGAAGCGTACTGGTGAGAAAAAGAAAAACTATGTTCCAGTTGGGAGACGAGGTGTATTTGGAGGTGTTGTTCTTAATATGCATCTCCATTGGAAGAAGCACGAGACGGTTAAGGTCATTTGCAAACCTTGCAAGCCTGGACAGGTTCACGAATATGCTGCAGAGCTAGCTCGATTAAGTAAGGGAACTGTTATTGACATTAAACCTAACAACATTATAATCTTCTATCGTGGGAAGAATTATGTTCAACCAGTTGTTATGTCACCTCCAGATACACTCTCTAAAGCTAAGGTAATCCCTACTTCTTTAATCTACATCTGATAATTTTTTTTTTAAAAATGTTGGAAATCAAGGGAACACAGAGGGTTACTCTTCCCCTTTTCTTTTTCTTCTTACATGTTCCTTCCTTTTTCTTCAACCTCTAAATTATCTTCTTCCATTTCCTATCTACTTCTCCAAAGTTTTTTTTCTGCCTTGCCCAAATTTTTTTGCCTTGTTATTCATCCGTTCCTTGCTCTCCTTTCTTCTCTCTTCTTTCCCCATTCCAATTGCTTTCTACCATTTTCTTTTGGGGGACTGGGTCTGAGGATAGAAGAATGCAAGGAAATTGTATATGTTACTTATACCATTTTCTTAGGACTGGGTTCAGGAGAGTGTAATTATGAAAATAGGGGCCTAACTTGAAGTCTTGAATGCTGAATTGAAGAATCAAGCTAATTGGTTCCTCTATTTGTGTCCTCATGCGGCCTACTTTTAGGTTGAAGGATTTATTGGAGCATCAATCTAATTGGGTTCCGCTGATTGTGTTTCTCATAGTGCTTACCTGTCCTTCAGTTGGTGATCATTTGGTTTTTGCTCAAACCCTAGCACATCAGTTGCCACCTCCTACTCCCTTAGGAACTTAAGTTTAGGATGTTTCTTGACATGTATTGATTTTAACATGGTGACTCGTGGTAGATTAGACAGAACGGGATCCACATTGGTACCCCATTGGAGCTTTTTGCAAATTAAATTTGGGGTTTACCTAAGAACAGGCATGGAAATATTCTTTGCAACTTGCTTCTGTTTTGATATATTGTGTTGCATGAGTTGAGTGGACTAGTAGAATGTTTAACATGTTACTTGGCACTTACAACAGTGCCTATAATTATAATCTTGTTTTTTGCTTTGCTTTGAGGTGTGGCAATAGATGTTTGTTTATACATTTTATTATCTGGTGTTGCAGGACTATTAAAAGGTGATCCTATTGTAACTTGCTGGGCATTTCCTTTGGCAGTTTTTCTTTTTCTGATTCATAGCTGCTTCTTAAACATTCTTTCCTTGAAAGGAGATGATATTTGTTGATTTCCTTCAAATCAGCTATGTATAACTTTATGTTAGATGAAAATTTTGGGTTTTACAATGAGCTTAATTTTTCAAATCAGCCTCTTGATTTCTTTGCTGCAGGCCTTAGAAAAGTATAGATATGAGCAATCCCTGGAGCACACAAGTCAGTTTATCGAGAAATTGGAAAAAGAGCTTGAAGATTATCTTGAACACCTTGTTCATTACAAAAAAGAAAAGGAGAATATGCCTCCGAGTACAACTATTGATACTTGATTGTTTGCTGCAATATTTTCCTGTAAGAAAACAAATATTGCTTGGCCCCCTAAATTACTTATCCACGTGATCCACATTTATCTCAATTTTCTCTTTCTCTGGGATTATGTTTTGGATTTGCTGATTGGAAATGATGACTCATGTATTTTTTGTGGTAGAGGTGTCAATCTTTTTAACTCTTCTTTGCTGCTACAAGTGATTCTACTTCTACCCGAAACATCCACTCCCCTATAAAGTCCCCATGTCCAAAAAGATCCCCTGCCTGTCTAGCATTTCCTTGACTCTTATAATGACAGATTTCCCTAAACAATTTCCAATGTTGGGTGAAAAGATAGCCCAAAGAAGCCAAATGGTACCAATTGCTCTAATAATTGCAGCATAAAAAACAAAAAGAAGAAAAGGAAGAGAGATGATAGCAAGAGAAGATTGAGTAGTGTACAAACTGTAGCATATAAATCCCAGTGAATGGGTCTTCTTGGACCATTCTGCTGGTTCTTCATCTACCGCTGAAATTATGATGACTTTGGGGTGCACTGGAATGATCTGAAGAAGTTGGTCTTTTACCTTCATTTTCATTCGATTCACAGTGATGGGATATTATCACCTACCAAGCTTGTTGAGAGAGCCCACCAAAATGGCGTAAGATTTCTCCAAATTCAATTTTTGTCTATCCTAGTAATTCTTGTATGTTAAATTTGGGAATTTGTGAAAAGCCATTTTGTAATGAAAATTGTTCTGTTTGTGTTTTGAAGAATCTGATATTGGAATTGTTTTTAATTTATGATTGTGCTCAGAGGATCGTGTTTTGCTCTATAAAAAGTTGAAGTCTTTACATATTTAACAAGAAAAAAGACTACTGCCTTTCTTTTGTTTGGTCTTTTTTAGTGTATGCAGGTGGTTCATAAGGATATTTTAATCTGAGAGAAAACAGGGAGAGTTTACTTTGATAACCAGTTTCTGATTCTGGAATCCATCAACGGGGGAAAACTGTTTGGAAAGTTGTCATAACACTCTTGAGAAGCATACTGCACAGCTTAGATTTTGTGAAATTTCAGTGGTTTACATCTGGACCATTAGCACTGTCCACTAGAGATGTCTGTTTGGAAACCGTCCCCTGTGCTCGTTTCTTCTAGAATCATGTTTTTCAATGTTTGCAATTCATCATCACTGATAATATGTGTTATTTACCTTGATGGACTTATATGCCATGAATACTTTTTCCCCCCTCTTATGGAATTTATAGTTCAATTCTTTATAAGATCTTCGCTCCATTGTTGTTCTTCTAATATTATTAGCATGACATGTGCTACTAATCTATGCTTTTTTAAAGTGTATTATGTGGTTAGACTACTACAACTTATTAGTATGTATATCCTGAACAGTTGAAAGTAATTGTGTTGACAAATCATGATACAATGTCTGGTATACCTGAAGCCCAGGAAGCAGCTTTCAGATATGGGATCAAGATTGTTCCAGGAGTTGAAGTTAGCGCAGTTTTCTGTCCAAGGTAAAGTTGTCTCTTTGGCTTAACCATATCTAGCATTAACAAAACAGTAGCTAAAACACATGTTTTAGGGGTCTGGTAGTTCTTCTATTAACTTTACTGGCTGTCTTGTGCCACAGTTTCATTGATTGTTAATGGATTGCTGATATATTTATTTCCTGCTTGCACGTTTTATTTTCTTTCTGATATTCAACATAAATAAACAGTGGAGAGATGGGATCAGAAGAACCAGTTCGTATTCTTGCACACTATAGTGTGTGGGGACCAATAAGGATAGACGAATTAGTGAAGCTGATACTTGCATAAGGAATGGACGTTTCCTAAGTGCAAAGAGCATGGTTTCAAAATTAAACAAACTGAAGCTATCTCTCAAGTGGGAGCATATAACCAAGATTGCAGGCACAGGTGTTGCTCCTGAGAGGCTGCATGTTGCTCGTGCTTTGGTTGAAGCAGGCCATGTAGAGAACCTAAAACAGGCCTTTTCAAGATATCTTTATGATGGTGGATCTGCTTATTCCACGTAATTAGTGTGATATAGTTAAATTTTGTGCGTTTCTTAAGTTGGTCAATATGACTTCTGTATAGATTGATTGAGAGTTCTTGTTGCAGTTCTGGCACATCCCTGGGCGCTAAAATCCCCGGTTGCCGTGATCAGAAGGCTAACAAAAGCAGGCTTGCATGGAATAGACTCTTGCAGAAGTGATGGAAAACTGGCAGGTACTTCATTCATACTCTGTTGCCTTCATTTACTTTCTTTTTCATCTATTGGATTTCCAAACTTATTGCTCACATCTGCAACTTCTTCAAAGAAAATTTTCATTTTCGAGTACAAGAATACAATGTATTCACTTCCATCATCTTTTGGGGCATGTGGGCTTTGTAATGATATCTTGTATCACCTTTTCTTGATAAAATAGTGCAGCGATTGTGCTGATGCATATGGTCTTGTGAAGCTTGGAGGATCAGATTACCGTGGGAGAGGTGGACAGCATGAATCTGATGTGGGGAGTGTGAGGCTTCCCATGTCATCGGTGCATGAGTTTCTTAAGGTCGCCATACCAATTTGGTTCAAAGGCTACTGTAGATAATCTTGGAAAAATGTCAAAGATCCCAATGATGCAAATTTACATTTTATAATCATGTTTAGCTGCAATCACGCAATGTATTGACAATCTGCACGTAATGTATTGACAAGTTTAGCCACAATCACGCAATGTATTGACAAATCTGCACGGAAATGCGCCCTCTCTCTCTCTCTCAAAAATCTGGGAGGGAGAATGTTGAGCTCAAATTTGGAATACTAAAACTAATGTGCTAATTGCCTTTATAATTTGTTTGGATAGTTTATGGGTTTTTCTAATTGTTCCTTGTAAGTTGTAACACACCTGGAATTTACCTAAGTTATTATGTGTGTGTGTGTGTGTATATATATTTTAATTATTATCTTTTCTTGCATTTATATATTTTTTCTATTTAATCTTATTTATCTTTTTTTTTTGTATTTATATACTTTCTCTAATAAATCTTTCATTTCAAATCTGATGCTTGAAATATATATTAACATGTATCTAATGGGCACTTAGAAGACAGTTTCATAGTTTATTATTGAGTAAATTTTTTATACACTGACAGTGTATACATTAGCGGGTCTAGATGAACGTAACATATACAAAATTTGGTGTTTAAATTCAAATTCAAATGATATAGCATTCATTAAATCCCGTTAGTTTATACTCTGATAATGTAGAAGAAAGATTAATCATTTATTATTTGCATAATTTTATTTGTTTATATCATAAATATATTTTTTAATCATATTTTTATTTCATATATATCACATAAAAAAGTGTTATAGTATTTTTTTTAAAAAAACTTATCCTAAATAATCCCTTTTTCCAAACACAAATGAATCAGAACAACATGCAACGTTAGCCATCAATCTAGGATTGTCTATGTTGAAGTACATATATTCAGTCTAAAACAATCCCCAACTCTCAAATGAGTGGGCGTGCCATCCAGATCCAGCAACCTTGTAACACATGAAAACTTTGAAGCTGACTGCGCTAAACATCCCGAATCAATCCAAGAATCAATCAGAACTCACTTCCAAAGAATACTCCGCTGATCTCTCTATCTTTCTTCTTCCCCTTTTCCTGCAAATCCTCATGCGCATTTGACCAAGTGGTGTATTACAATTTTTTAAAGATAAATCTCTGATCCACATCGTCCAAATAGATGCCTTCAGTGTAATAGTTTTCTAGACAGTTTTTTGTTATTAAAAGAAACTGTAGACGTTTGGATTAATTGCATAAGACTTCCTGCACCAGAGTAATGGAGAAACCGATCCAACCTTAGTAGGAGAAAGGTCATAAAATGTAGGAGAAAACCCCAGCAAGTGTACGAGAATGAGCCACTTCTGTTCTGAGCCCTCCAAACGCTCCATCACAGAGAACTGCACTAACAGAAGGACCTTAATTTGATATGTACATATGAAAAAAAAAAAAAAAATTGTGCACTGAAACAAGATATCATGAAAAAAACAACGTTGGGAAAGCCATATCTTAAAAGGGTCCGACAGTGCTCAATGCCGGATTAGTCAGGATAAGTCAGGGCCAATACGGTCACCGGACACCAAGAGGTTTATATGGAACTCTTGATGCTCCTGACAATTATTATGTCGTTGTGGTTTAAAAGGTCAGTAGGCTCACAATCTACAGGGGAAACCATTGATGCCAGTTGATATGGATTTTGGTCTTGCAAGAAAAAAGGCCATAATTGCCCTGCTGGAGCAAGGGTAAGTCTCATCCAAGAATGATGTTTGTGTTGACACATGTATTATCAAAGAACTTTAGTCGATTTTATAAGGTCAGTAGGCTCACAATTATTAAGAAACATGGTGCTTTGGCATCTAGTTCTATCTACAGTAGATGAATTCTGGAAGCAAAACGAATCCTGCAAGAAATTAAACAAAGCTTATAGGTAAACAAAATCCATAAATTATGCTTTTAATATTATGACCGTGTGGTTGTTTGAATTATTTGACATGCTTATTCACTTATATATATATATTTGTAGGGAAATGGCGGAATTGAAGAAATAAGGAGAGGGAATAGGAGGTTTAAATCCAAAACTTTTAAATTCTGGAGTCTCAGAATCAACCTTTAGACCAAGACTTTCTTGCCATTATTTGACATTCTCTTAATCTTTGTTAACGGGAAACTTAGGCAAGGGTTAATTGATGACACATGTCGACCTAAAGAAAAAGGAGTTGCACAATTCAACATGAAAAAAAAATCAAGGATGAACTTTAATTTTTCAAATACATTTCTTTCAATAATATTTATCCTTAATAATAATATTGATGTTCTTTAGAACAATAAACGCTGAAAAATATGGAAGACTTGGAGAAGCACGCGCACATAATGATAAAAATTGCAGCATGATAGGTGTCGAGCCTGTGCAATAATAAAAACCTACTCAACAAAAATATAAATTTTGTATATAGCGGTGAGTAGGGTCGAATCCACATGGACTGGGGATAATTTGTTTTTTCGAGAGTACAGAGTAAGGGGGATTTTTATAAATTTGGGGATAATTAAACAACTCAAACAATAATAAATAAACAACCAGTTGATAAAACAATTCATGAAAGTAAGCAAAAATTAAATCGATGGTAGACAAGCTCTAGCCAAAGATACAACCTCTCAAACACGGTCTATTCATCCGATCATTGATGCAAAGATGGTTCGCTCAATTTATTAACAGGTCAGTTATAATCGTCAACAAACTCCGACGACCAACTTTTTCTTAGTTTATTAATAACCAAGGTACGACTGTTGATCATCCCCAACCAGAAAATAACCCTAGGTACGATCGTAGGGTTTAATTTTTCAATTGCATTAAGAATTAGAAAAGTCTAATCCTAATCAATAATACACTAAGAGGGTTATTTAAATTAGATTGCACATTCCCATAATGTGTGTAAATGTTAGTTACCACTAATATTAATCGACTAAATAATTACTTATTTAGTTGATTAATTTGACAATAGATTATTAGGTCACTTTGAATATCGGGCCTTTGACATTCAGTTAAAGAAATAATCTCGAGAAATTAAAATAGAGAATGCACAAATATTAATAAATTGAAGGAATAAGTTGAGATTAGTTCGATCTCACCGATTTTCTGGACTGCGTCGTTCAATTGATTTTTGACTAGATTAGAAATTTAGCCACGTCTCGTAGAGAAATTTCCACGCAAATAAGTTGAATTCATCGACATCAATCTTTTCCCCCGAAATGATGTGATATTTGTTCGAATCAAAAAGTAAGGGAACGAAGACGACTTGTTTCTGTCTTGGGACTTGGGGCCAACCAGCCAGCTCCAACGAAAACCTAAGTGACTAGTTTATATACTAGTCAATTTCCTAACCGAACAAGTAAAAAAAAAAAAAAAAGGCAACCACCGATATTGCCTTGCTTCTTGTTCTTGTTTCCTAATACTAGTAAACTACTAGTCAACAAAAGGGAAAGAATTGGTTCAGCATAACTTGGAATCAGATTTGTCAATTTTTTTGGAAGCTTTCCACGTGCACACAATCTCGAGAATCTGTACTTAACGGCATGACTTCAAGAAAGTCGCCCTTTATAGCATTTTTCTGCTCCACCTCCTGTAATTAGGTCTAAGGGTATGTTTGTTTGGACTGAAAATATTTTCCCGAAAAAGTTTTCCAGAATTTCTGGTGTTTGGAAGCAAAAGAGGTTGGAAAATGATTTCAGCTGGAAAATGTTTTCATGCCGCCGGGTGGAAAATGACTTCCACAACAACTTTCCTGAAGTTAATTTCCGATAACCAGATAACCCGCCCCCAGTGCAAGAGAATCACCAGCAGCAGAATCATATTAGTCACAATATCAGTGGGTATTCCACTGGAATTCTTAACAACTTTGGTTGCACATAATTTGCCGAGCAATTTGAATTGATAAATAAAAAGTATCTGCACTCAACCTGCAAACTAAAGTATTGCTGTAGAAGTACTGAATTATGACATCAAACCTCGTGCTATAACACATAACGACCTATCTGCTCTTCTCCCTTGAACCCATGAAAGATCAGACAACAAGAATAAAATCAACAGCTCTAGTCAGATTTGCATTCATCTCAAAAATATCCCAGACATTTTGCTTTCTCCTTTCTACTAATTAGAAGTAACTTAAGGCAAGTAAACAACGTTGCAAGAATATCAAACTGTCCTACACTATTCTAATTCAATTGCTAATATGTTTTATGTGATAATCAAGTCTAATGTGAAAGATTGCATTTGTGTCAGGTGGTGGTGGTGGGATTTGACAATTTAGTTCTTTTAGGATTACAAGTGTCTTTTTTTTCTATGAATGATCGAAAGAACCACTTTAATTTAAGTAATGAATATTAATTAAATTTTGAGACAAAAGAATTCATTTTCTTTCAAATATCAAAATATCCAATATTTTTAGTTTGATCTAGATCTATCCTAATTCCACCCTGTATTCGAGTTGGGAAATTTAAGAATTCATGGTGTAATATGAATAAATATTTTATAAAAATGATAATATGATTATAGTGGATAGAAACTAAAATTAACTTGTAATGAAACGAATGTTTTGAGAGTAGAAAAATATTTGCAATATATCAACAAACATATCAGAAAATATTTTCATTGACAAATCAAACACCGGAAAATTATGAAAAAAGGAATTCGGAAAATATTTTCACTTAATAACCAAACACTGGAAAATTATGGGGAAGGAAGTGATTTTCCAAGAAAATGATTTTGATAGAAAATATTTTCCTAGGGAAAATATTTTCAGTCCAACCAAACGGACCCTAAATATCAAATATAAGTAGAATCCGGCAATTAAAACAACATTTGGCAATGACAAAGGGGAAATTAACCATAAATTTAATAAACAAATTACATCCTATCACAGCAAGTCATTTAAAAAAGGGAAAAAATTAATGTTGCAATAATAACAAATAATGAATATCCTCATTCGTAATATGCTTTTTATTTTAAGTTTTTTTTTTTATAAACATCTGAGCAAAACACCATTTGTAATATTTCATAATTTTTGATCCTCTATACATCTTTGCAATTGCATCTTCAGGTTTAAAATTTTGGCAATTCTTAGCATTGGTTTTTTAATTGACCATCTATAAATTATCTATTGATTTAATTCTATCCAATTAATTACATGGTTTTAGTAAATTAATAAAAGAGTCTGTTGAAATCTGTTTAGTGAAAGGGCTTATTAGCTGAACTTTTTTTTTTTTTTTTTTATCTCTGCATCAAGAAACTGGTTGAACTGAGTTTCCTCGAG